AGTGATATGGCAATATGCTTATGTAACCAATTAAAGCGACCTAAAATGATTCGAGTTCGTATTTAAAATGTAGCCAAGCTTTTGTAAACTTACCATGCGACTGTGATGCGAGGATCGAGATAGTTTAATTTGCTAGTACCTAAAGCGATCTCTTTGTTCTCATCTTTATCCGTAGCCTGAACCTGTAGCTTCATAAGTTGCTCCTTGAGTGTACTAAGTCGCTTCTTAAGTTTTTCATATTGAACTTTCATGGAAGCTTGTTTCATTTTTTTATAATCAGCCTTAATTTGCTTTGCCTCTCTGGTTACATCAGAAATCTGTTCCTTTTTCGCATCGACCTGAAATGAAAGTTAAGGCAAAGTCGGCATCCACAAGAGGCAATAAAACAAAAATTTATTAGAAGCTAACCTTCTTCTGTAGATTCTCCATTGATTTAGCAAAAGTCTTTGGAACAGACCTCTGGTGATTACAGAGGATAGCGACAGCTCGATTTGCACGGTTATATGATAAGACTTTGGTTGCCACTAGGTCCGACAAGGCTGTAAGCATTTCCAACTGCTCCTCTAGGGTTCTACTAGCATTATAGGTACGAAAGACTTTGGCACTGAGCCCATCCATCAGTTCACGCAAATATTGATTCAAAACTGTGGTCTGTTTGAAAGGAAAGCCATAATGAGATCGAGATATTAGCAATATGTAAGGCTAATGAAGAAAAACTTACATTTAATCTGTCAAACAAGTCATCACCATCTTGTTTATTTTTCAGAAACAATTTAAGATTCTTAAAGACCCGCTTAGGTACCGGAACAGCATTTTGGTACCGAATCGAATCCTTGCCCGGGAAATCGAACTCTACTACATACTGCTTATCGTTCATTTGTTCGTGCAACTTAATGTGTTCATATCGAAGTGAACAGCAGCCTACGGTGTCCGCTTCATCGTCGTCCTTCTCATTACCAGCACGAAGGGCAAGCTATAATAAAGGATGCTTAAATAAGTCACTAGGATTAAATAAAACTGAAGAACAATAAGAAAATCAGAGATAAACAGACCTTATCAATAAAATAGAGAGCAACAGCCCTCTGCCGTATCCTCATTTCTTTGTGTTTGAAATCAGCGCGATAATCATCTCTTATCTTATCAATCAATTTGTGAAGCTTGCGAGCAGTTTCATACTTTTTCCAATCTTTTTCACCCTGAAGAAATGAAAGTAAGACTCATTTACCTTAAGTCGAGATGAGGCATTGAGCATGACGTACTTAAAGTTGCCTTGAACGTTCTCAACCCAGCACGCTAACCATGTGACCGTATTATCAAACCGCACTTCCTTCCATTTGTGACCTTTGGGTGGAACAGGAATAGCGGAGTCTTTTGAACAATTAATGGTTACATCCTCTGGAAGAACGCGCTTCTTAAGCATACCCATTTTCGGATGATCCCCGCGGCCTCTGAAGAGACCAGGAGGCTCAATCCTAAAATTACCAACTCTTTGTTTGTGTCCATCTAGTGTACAAAATCCGTATTCGTTTACGAGCTGTTGATTGGCTTCCTTGAGAGCCTGTTTTTCTTCTTTGGTCATATTCTTACGTTCCTCAGTCTTCTTCTTGAAATATTCTGCCATTTCGACAAAGTCACATTTATCTAAGTGACGAATAGTCCTTTTTTCTTCCTCAGTCATTACTTTTTGCCAATCACGAAAGAAATTTGTGTTGAAAGCTTCTTTAGAGGTATATTCATGATCAAGCATGCGAGCGTAAAATCCAGCCACTTCTTCGGCCTCATCAGAGAGAACAATTCGTTTTCCTTCATAGTGAAACTTGATATCACTTGGTAAACGTTCATAAGGGGAAGCGAACACAGGACCTTTGTGCTCAAGAAACCTCCATTTAGCACCACCGTCCTTAGCTTTTTCCTCCCACCACTTCCACACCTCTTCCTCCTCCACTTTAGCTTTTTTATTCGGAGTGGTTGGCTCACTTTTTACATCAGGTTTAGCCCTGTATTTTACATTTGATTCTGACATTCTAATTTTTTTTGCCTATATAACTCAGCAAAAGATTGAAAACATACCGGTCTGTCATAGCTGGGCTCAGACTTGCGCTTCATAAAGGTCTTTTTCAGTCTAAGAATAAAATATATAATATACAAACTTGGCAGAAAGGGGGACGTCATCATCGCTTGACTCAGAACCATGTTCATATGCCTTTTTTTGAGATGAATTGCCGTGAGACAATCTGAAATTTGAAAAACTTGAGCCTACTTCGAAGATAATGGGACATCATCTTCACTAGAACTTTCTTTATACTTTGAATTACGTGGCTTATCTCTGGGTGATGGTTCTACTTTTAATCTGCACAGACTATCATGGAAATATGACAAACTTTGCGGACAAAGGGACACCATCATCACTCGAGCTATCAGAATAACTCCCTTGAGAAGTACGGCTAGCGAAATTTACTGAATCATTCGCCATTTTAAAATGATTATCATGAGAGCCGTTCGACATTTTCGTCGAATCACCGAGTGCACCAGTCATTACAAATAAAAGGGTCGAACTCAGATGCGGAGAGAGAGAGAAAATAAAGCGTATTTAGAACTGACGAAGGTTACGCAAAGAAATATTCGTTGAAACTTAGAAATAAAAATTTTAAGTTTTTAAATTCTAAAAAAAGATTAAATATAATATTTTCGGAAGAATTCTTAATTAAAATGTGGAAAAACCGAAACAAATATATGGTCAAGTAACAGTAATTTTAAGATAAAATAAAAATAATGTTTTATTATTCATTTAGCCTTGAAACTGCTGGTGCTGTGGTAAATTCTCCTAAAAAAATGCCATCATTTGTGAGCTTTGCATAGATGGAAGTATAACTGACAATAATACATGGTTCTTATGAAAGTAAGAGAAATTTGAGCGAAGCATAATACCTTTATTAATGAAAATGATAGAAGTTTTACGGTAATAAAACTTGTGAAGTTTTCGAAAAAAAGATTCTTCTGACGAGAAAAAAATGTAGAAAGACTCAACTCGATTGCACATATGAAGAACAAATTGGTGACGAAATATTCCTCATTAAATTCATACTGTCTTCTATTCGTTTTGTTTGATAAGGCGTGTTTTAGAAAATGCTAATTACTCTCACGGGGTACCGGAGGATTGTAGATTTGTGGAAAAAATTCTTGTAACCCTTTCCTTTTGTATTTTATTCGTCATGCTAAATACCTCGCCAGAATGAGTAATAATTCTTTGGAAAACTTTGTCTAGAAATGAGTACAGAAAGGTAGATAGCTGAAATCTCATTAAACTTTTGAAGCCTTATCCAACTCAGTTGAAGACAGATCAAGCTTTGCTCCAATATTTCACCTCTTCACGTATGTTTATAGATTATTGAAGTGAATGCTGCACTAAATAAAGTTTTTTTCGTATTTTTGATCAAAAATTATTGGTGGATGCACTTATGTTGGTTTTTCCATATGCTATGAGTATGAAATGCCTTTAGCCATATAAGGTGTAAGAGCCCAATCAAAATTAGAGGTCAATTAGGCCTTTCATTCTTGCTCATTCGTTATTTATGCTCCCACTCCATCTACTTCTTCTTAACCCTGTCTAATAACATCAGGTTATAGCGTTATATTAGTTGCAATCTTGTCTTTGTCATCATTGGGTTTAT